AGGAGCCCAGGAGGGGGCATGCTAAGATTCTGTCTTGGAAATGGGAACTGTAGGGAGCAGCCGGCAATTCGTGCCACAGCGAGAAGCCCTGCCCGTCGCTGAGTCCGGGTTAGAGACGAGGGTGGAAGAAGCACCACAGTCCAGGGGAGACATGGGGGGAGCCTTGCGCAGCCTCCATTTACCTGCCATCACAGTCACATGGAGTGGACGGGAGAGCACGAGGAAGGAGAGAGAACAGGGAGGAGAGGTAGGCTCCTGCACACAGTGTGGACACAGCATAACACGCTAAGTGAGACGTTTCCGAGAGGGACAGGGGTGCTGTCGGCAATTCCACCAGGACCGTCCTCACAGGCTTCCCTCCCAGACCACAGCCTCCTCCTCTGCCTGGGTAGATGCGTTGTGGTTCTTTTTCCTTCTCGGACTCCATGGAGGGAAGGGAGTCTCCCAATAACAACAAAAACATGGCAGCATTCCAGTACCAATTGAGGACATGCTACTGCCAGGCACTGCACTAAGACCCCTGCTTGTATTATTTCATTTAATCCCCACAACAACCCAATGAAGTAGGTACTGGTTTTATCCTGATGTTACAGATGAGGACACTGAAGCATGGAAAAGGCAAACCACTTGCCCAGGGTCGCACAGCTGGTGCACGGTGGAGCTGGGACAGGCATCCAGGTGGTCTGGCTGCAGAACCTGTGCCCTTAACCAGACTGCTCTGCCAGGGAGCTGGAGGCTACACCTGCTCCTGTCTGGGTCCCTACCATGTCCAGGTGGGCTTGTGAGTCTCAGGCTTGGCTATAGCCCCAGCCTCACCCATGCCCCCTCCTCACGCCAGACCCACCTTCTCTTTCCTCTCACTGGCTGACCCTGAGGTCTGGAGGCATGAACACTTGCGACTTCCTGCCCAGACCCACCGACAGACCTGTCGAGGTGTGAGCCCACCTGCACCTGCACCTGCACCCGTCATCTCCAAGGACAGGAGTGCCCTCCTCCCCTGCCCACAGTTCATCCCTGGGCTCAAGTCCAGACCTCAGCTCCTCTCTGCTGCTCTGGGACATCGTGTCACCGACCACTCCCTGGTCCTATCACCCTCTCCCTCTTTGCTAGAGCATTTCCTCTCCCATCCTAAAGAAATCCCGTTTGTCTCACCTGGTTGTAGCTACTCTGCCATCACTTCCCCCCCGGCCACAGCTAAACTTGTAAGCACAGCCTCCACTTGCTCTCGAAACTTCCTCACCCCCGCTCGTTCCTAGTACTGCTCCATTCTGGTGTCGCCCTGTGACTCCTCTGAAACTCTCCTGTCAAGGACACCCACGCCCTCTCCTCATCTTGGCTTAGTCCTCGTCCTGCTCCGTGCATGAGGTGGCGCCCCAGCCACTCCCTCCTTCGTGAGACTTTCCATCTTGGATCTCCCGGGGGCCATCCTCTCCCACGCTCTTGCCTGTCCTCAGTTTCCCTCGCAGGTTGCTCTTCCTCAGCACCCCTTTATTAGCCAGTGTCCCCACAGTCTGTCTGCGGGCTTTGCCTTCCCGTCCGCGTGCTCCCTGGACGACCTCACCCGCTGCCGAGCTTCCGTTCCACCTGATGCTGGGGACCCGAGCTCTGCACCTGCTTGTCCGACTGCGTCTGCACAGTCAGGGCTCCCGGTCCCGCCTGAACAAGCCCAACACGGAACAGGCCCTCCTCCCTGCCCATCTCTAGGAAGGCACCTCACTCATCCATTGCCCAGGCCAGAAACCGGGGAACCACCCCAGTCACGCCCCTCTCCCACACTCCATTTGATCTCACCAAAACCTGTGGACTCCCTCCCCACGACTTATGAAATCTGAGCTCTTTCCAGTTCCCTGCTTAGTTCGCGTCTTTAAATCTGCTCCCAGGCCCCCGCCTCTCTAACCCACACTGTGCGCTGTAGTCAGAGAGATCATTACTGAAGTCAGGTCTGCTTGTGTCCCCACTTAAAGTCCTTCGCTGGCTCCTGCTGCCTACAGGACAAGATCAGACTCCGCTGTAGGACAGTTGGGGCCCTTCTTGCTCTGGCCTTTCTCCACCTCTCCAGTGGCTTCTCTTGCCCTGCAGCACAGAGCTCTTCCTCGCTGGCTCCGTCTCTTCATCTGTAACATGAACTAGTAACAATCCCTGCCTCCCAGGAGTGTTAGGGGATGAAAGGCTCTAATGGACGGCCAGCAGTGGCAGAGTTCCTGGCACGAGGTAAAATTCAAACAGTGCTAGGGTTTGACTCCAGCAGAGGTGGGGGAACCTTGTGGGCTTCACAGAGGAGGTGGCACTGGCGCCACCCCTGGCAGGATGGAGAGGACCCGGCCCCGCGGTGCTGCGGGGCAGGAGCAGTAGCAAGAGCAAAGGCATGTGGAGGTCCTGTGCTCACCCCTGGAGCAGCCCCGAGGGGCCGGCCCGGAGGTTGTGGGAGGGAGCAGTAGAGGACAAGACCAGGAAAGGCAAAGCTAGCCTGAGCTTGGACTTTGTTCTGCAGACGGGGAGCCATGGAAGGTGCTGAGCAGGAGTGAAGGCTTCAGCCACCATCATCTTGAGAACTCACCTCCCCTGAGATCCCACACCACAGCCAGACAGGTCTTTCAGAAGCCTCCATCCAAGCGTGTCGTTCCCCGCCCCCCGCCATGCATCCTTCACTGGCTCCCGCTGTTTCTGGGATAAAGACCAACCTCCTCCCGGTGCTGGTAGAGCCCGTGGCCAGCCCTGCCCACCTCTCTGGCCTCCTCGTCACTGCTGTATCCGCTCCAGCTGCGCTGGCCTCCGCCCGGTCCCTCCTGCTTCCCGCACTCAGCAGCTACTCTTTGAACATGTACATATCTGCCAGTGCACGTGGCACCAGGGCCTTTGCACGGGGTGTTCTCACTGCCTGGAACACTCTTCTTCCTTTTGAAAAAAAAATCAATTCTTTTTTTTTTCCTTTTTGTCTTTTTTCGTGACTGGTAACGGGATCGCAACCCTCGGTGTCGCGCCCGCACCGCGCTCAACCAGTGAGCGGACCGGTCTCTATATGGGATCTGAACCCTCGGCGGGAGCACCGCTGCACTCCCAAGCGCCGCACTCTACCGAGTGCGCCACCGGGCCAGCCCAAAAATCAATTTAATTCTTTCTCATCCTTCGCATCTCAACTCAAACGTCCTTCCTCCAGGAAGTCTTCCCTGGCTCTCTCCTTTGATCAGCTCTCATCACACCATGTACCTCTCCTTTGTAATAACGCTACCCGCAGTTGTGATTTTGCCTGTACTTGTGTGATCGCCAAGGAGGCCAGCAGGGGGCAGGTTCCACGAGCTTAGGAAGGGGGACTCTCCTGCACACTGCTGCATCTTGGGGCCCAGCACAGTGCCTGGTGTAAATATCTGGGGTGTGCAATGGTGGCTGGGGAACAGAACGAGGAAGAACAGAGCTTGGAGCCGGGGGCATCTTCAGGAGGCTGGTGCCGTGGCTTGGGTGAAAAGTGGCACGGAAGCTAGAGAGGAGAGTAGCGACAGAATTGACTAGGAGAGGAAACACGTTAGCAGGGTGGGATGGCACAAGAGCTGTGACCAGAGTGGGGAAACCAGGCTGTTGCCAATAACTGGAGCTTGGGCAAGTGGAAGGAGATGCACAAGGCAAGGGGCAGATGGAGTTTGATGTCACACTGTCCTGGAAGGAGCTTGGAATGGAAGCCTGGAGTTGGGGTGGGGGTTGGTTAGAATTCTGAGAGCTGAAGAGGACAGGACCAGGGTGGTGGTGGTGGGGGCACCTGCATAAAGAGAACAGAGGGAGGAAGGGTCGCTTCTCTGACCTCAGCTTCTTCATCAGGGAAGTGGGGCAGTGCTGCCAAGCTCCTAGGATGGCTCTGAGGCTAAATGAGGTCATTTAGGTGCGGTGCTTTGCAAGCTGCCTGGCACAAAGTAAGGGCTCAATAAATCATCATCATCAAGGTGCTTGACTACATTTCCATGCTGAATCAAGAGACTCAAACAACCAGAAAATAACATAACCAAATGATTGGCCTGGGGTCCTGAGGGCTGTCACACTGTTAGTGGACTCCTGCCTGTGCCAGTTCCTAGGGAGGCTGGGCAAGTCCAGGAAGCCCAAGAGGAATAGCGGGAGTCCCGGAGCTGGAGGAGTCTGGAGGTCTTGGGGCCAGCCTGGCCAGCAGGGTGATGCCTGGCATCACGGGCAGGATCACGGAGCCACCCTTGGAGATGCTTGGACCCACCTCCTACCAAGTCACCCCAGGACCCTCCCAGGATCCTCTCCACCTTTAGTCTGTCCATCCCCACCCTCATCCACCTGATTAACTAGGTCTAAGTGAAACGGAGCTCCCTGAGAAGGAGGGATACATAAGACAGGGCCCCTGTGAAGCCACACGTGGCTCTAGCCCAGCCCCAGCCTCCCCGGGCAACCCCAAGAGCCTCACCTCTCTCGTGTGATCTGGGAAGCTGGCTTGTTTGATCGAGGATATGGTTCTTGGGTGGAAAGTACAGGGAGTGAGGACAGGGCCTTTTTTTCTTTCACGACAAGAGGAGGGCTCACAGCGGAAAGCAGGCAGGCGCGTCAGGCTGTAGAGAAAGCCACAGGGGCTGCCTCTGGATCCCAGCGTGGCTGCAGAATTGAGCCTCAGGAGGGGCCTGGCCTGTCTGCTCCTGGCAGCTCAGTGTGGCCTGGACCTGGTCCACCCTCTCAGGCCTTCAGTCTCTACTGTAACACCTGCCACTACCCTTCTGCCCTGTCATCACCCTAAGAGGAAGAGCCCTGCATTGCTTGGTTCTATGTCTAGCTGTCCCCAGCCAGTGAGGGACAGGCTTGGTTAGGGTCCCCACAAGAGGCCCAGGCCACTTCTCCAGGAAGATCTGTCTGCCTCTGTGCTAGAGGGGCTGCTGCAGTGTGGGCTGCAGTGGGGATGGAGTATGTCTGGGGGCTCAGGCAAGGCCCCCCGCAGGGCTGCTGAGGCCTGCACAGCTGACAACCGCCTTCCTGAGGTCTCTGCTGTCCTCTCTCTGCAGTCCCGAAGCAGCGTGCAACAGGGGGACCTGGATGGGGCCCGGAGGCTGGGCCGCCTGGCCCGGCTGCTCAGCATCACCTTCATCATCATGGGGACGGTCATCATCATCGTGGCTGTGACTGTCAACTTCACAGGTGAGGCTCGGCCCTATGAAGCAGAGGGAGCCAGGGTGCTTGGCATGAGGACTGCCCAAGGGTGTAGCTCAGTCCCCTGGGGCAGGGGAGGTGGGTGGGAGAAGGGGTAAGAGCCTGTGGGGGCCATAGCCTTGTCCTCTCACTCCAGAACAGTGACCCAGTCCCTAGCAGTGACAGTGGAGAGGGGATCAGTTTTCTGACTTGGCTTATGCCTGGAGAGTGAATAAATAGAAAAGGGGGTGGGAAATGCGCAGGCCTAGGAGTTAGAGGCCACAAGTTCCAGTCTCAGCTCTGGTGGCCCTGGGACCTGGGCCAGTGTCCTGTCTGGCTGAGCCTCAGTGTTTTCATATATAAAGTGGCAGGAAAAAGCCTCCAGTATAGGGGCTTTTGTGAGCATCACCCAAGATAATAGAAGTGACTGAGCTTTGTAAACTGTGGGTTGATACATAAGTGTCCCTGCTGACACAGCCAAGAGGTACCAGAAGTCAACAATGCATATGGAGGAAGCCAGGGAGTGACACTTCTGTGAGCACCCAAAGGTGGCCCAGTGAAGTCATCCAAGCAGGGGAACCATCTTCAAAGGTGACTCTCAGCTGCTTACGAAGCCCATGCAGCTTTGGGAGTTTGGGGGCCGTCCAGGTCAGAGCTGTCCCCCCCACACTGGGAGGCCCCCAAGCATCTCTGCCCATGTCAGTGACCAACCTAAGCTTTTCCACCAAAAAACCTGCCACTCAATTTGCTCCATGGACCCGCAGCAGGGGATCACCTGGGACAGTGTCAGAAATGCAGGATCTCAGGCCCCACCCCAGGCCCACTGAATCAGAATCTGCATCTGAATGAGATCCTCAGCCCTGTCATTAGAGTTTGGGAGGCACTGGTCTAGAGGGTATAACACTCAACTTGGGCAGAAAGCCTGGGATTGAGCTGTGGGGCCATGGCCAACCTTGGCCACTTAGAACAGGGGAGTGTTCAGGTTTGTAACCAGCCTGCCTGGGTTCAGAATCCAGGCCCCCCACTTTCTGGCTCTGTTAGCTGAAGGATGTTCCGTAAGCTGTCTGAGCCTCGGTTTCCTCCATTAGCAGGCGTCTGATTGACACGCAGGAACGTGAGAGGCAGGAGCCCACTGTCCAGGACATTAGCCTCAGTGTCATCTTATGATGCTCCTCCAGGCTCCTTCGTCCTGCTGCTGCTTGTCATTTTAGCCAGGACTCTTCCGATGGCAAGGGACAACTACTGAACTCAAACTGGCAAAGGGAATTTGTTAGCTTTCACTGAAAAGTCCAAGCATAGATTGTTCACTAAAGAGTGGCTGTATCCAGGGGCTTGAACGATGTTGACAGGAATCTGTCTCACTCTTTTGTCCTGCTTTCCACTGTGTTGGCTTCATTCCTAGGCAGGATCTCTCCTTCTGATGGCAAGATGACAACCAGACACTCTAATAGTGGCCCTAATAGTGGCACAAGTTTTAATCAGTCCAGTAACTAAGCAGGGAAAAAAAGTGCCTCTCTGTCAACAGTTACAGCAAAAGTCCCAGGGCTGATTCTGATTGGTCCAGTTAGGGTCACACGGCCACCTCTGAACCAATCACCGAATCTGCAGTCCTCTCAATGGCAGGAGCTTCACCAAGAGCCTCAAACCAGAGTTCCCCAGTCCTGTACCTTATCCCTGTTACCATGTCCCACTAGGAAACAAAAACCCAAATCCTCAAATCAAGGGCTTGAAGACCCCCCGTTCTGAGTTCTGATCTGTTGTAACTGTCCTTTTCTTTACAGTTCAGAAGAAATAAAACTAACCAGGGAGCTGTGCTAGCAGAGGCAGGCCCTGGCCAGCTGGACCCCTCTGAACCCACACATCCCACACACCACGGGGGGACAGGGTGGTGACTGCCAAGTGCCCACCTGTCCCTAAGTCCAAAAGCACAAACTCAGAGGGAAACCCTTATGTCACCCCATTGTAAGTCCACATCAGATGGGACAATCTGGAGGAAGGAAGGAAGGAGGGAGATGAAATTTACTGTGAAACTGGTCAGTAATGTGGTTTAATCTCATGGACACGTGCTGGCATTTTGACCCCAGTGCTCTGGCTTGTTTCTCATCCCCACAATTTCCTGGGATCTACCGAGCAGCGTCAACTGCCAGATGAGAAGAAAGCCAGCCCCACGAACAAGACAAACTCTGATGGGGACAGAAGCAGCACAGTCCCTTCGTGTCTGGGCACCAGGAGAAAAGACGTGGGACTTTATCTTTTGCATTTTCCTTGAGGGGAGAAACCAGACTGCTTGCATGCTTTGTGCCACATGCCTGCTGTGATCCCAGCCTGGTGCCCGAGGTCAGGGGTGAAGCTGCCGCTCAGCAATGTCCTGGGGCCCCAGGGCACACGGGGTGTGCAGCTGCCCTGGAAAGAGGCAACAGCCACACTTCACTCCCCTGTCACAAGGCGGAGGCACCGAGAGGCATGTGGGTAAAGACAGGTACGGGGACAGCTCAACCCGCACACCTCTTCCCAAACTTTTCAGCTGAGGACTCTGGTCCCAGTGCATCTTTCAGGACAATGCAGCCTGCCTTCTGCTGCATACCTGCGCTGTGGCCTGTGCACCAACCAAGAACTCCTAGAACTCAACCAGGCCAAGGGCCTGAGCTCTCGTCTTGCCATGGCCTCCTTGAAGGTCTGGGTACAAGTTCATGGCCCGTGCAGAACAGCTTGGGTGGTGCCCAGCTTCAGGTGCCCAGCCCAGCCCCATCTGATGCTCTGTGCTTGGCCCTGTGCCTCTGGCCATCCACACACAGCAGAGGCTTTCCCTGGAGGAGGCTTTGGGACCATCCCATGGGCTCCCAGGCTGTTAGGGGTGTTTGTCCTGCCTGTAAAGGAGTGGGCCAGAGAGCTTTAATGAAGATTTGTTGTTTCTTGGGTCTAGAGAGTCCCAAGACAGAGGGAAGGACTTGGCTGAAGGCTCCAGTCTACCGGGGGATGGGGGGAGTGGTAGGTTTGGGGATACACTCCTGTGCCTGGAGGCAGGGGGCTGGATGCCATGGCCTCTGTGTCTTAGGATCTAACGGGACACCAGAAAGGAGCTGAGCAGGGCCCTTGGCCTCCTCCCTGGTTTTTGGCCCATGATTCTGCCCAGGCTTCTCCCTGACACAGGCTTTACCTACAGGGGCCTCTCCTGCTGCTGCTTGCCCAGCTGGCTTTGGCACCGTGGGTTAGTAGCTCTGTCTGCAGGAGAGACTTATGGTCCTGCACGCGGCTGTGGCTCTGAGCCTTCCAGACAGGGCCCATGTGACCACTGGGAGGGCAGGAGTTCAGGGCCCAGGGGTGCTGGGCAGATCCCTCTGGGGCTGGTGCTCCTGTCAGTCTCCCACCTGGGGAATAAACTCCAACCTCTCCCAGTCCTAAAGCAGGGACCAGTTGGGTTCACTTTATGGGATTCTTGAGGCCATAATAGAGATGCCCCTGTTTGTTGGCAGGGGGGCAGGTGGGGAAAGGTATGAGCCCAGAATATTTGTGTCACCATGAGGTCAGGTCAGGTCAGGGGAGACATGAGGTCTGTGTCATCGGCTCTGGGAGGAGAGGCCATGAGTGGGTGGTCTCCTGGCAGGCCCCAGGGGTCCCCAGCTTCAGCAACTCAAGGAGAAGAGAGAAATGAACCGGACAGCTTAGGGGTAGTCACGTGGGGAACATGATGCCAAGGCGGGAGTCTGCAGCCTCCGTGTGCCCTCGGAGGTCTCATAGGCCCAGACCTTCCCCACCCCCGCCCCCCCAGTCACACCACACAGATAGGCACCCCGTGCACTCCCTACGCGTGCGCACACACACACACACTCACACACACACACTCACACACACACTCACACACACACACACACACACACACACTCACTCACACTCACTCACACACACACACACTCGCACACACACACTCACTCACACACACACACACACACTCACACACACTCACTCACACACACACACACACACCACGCTCACTCATTCACACTCCACACCCAGAACAGTCGAGGGCCCTGCTTAGGTGAAGCACCAGCAGATGACCCCAGGAATGGGCACAGCTGGAACGTTCCTCCATCCAGGCAAGAACAGCTCAGGAGCTTTCTAGTGGTGACAGGGACAGAGCTCAGAGGCCCCCAGAGGCCCACCTCTCAGCAGAGAGGAGGAGGAAGCTGGGGGCCCTGGAGGGAAAGCCATCCTGGATGAGAGAAGACTGTGAGGAGGGTCCCTGCAGCCCCTGCCCCACAGGCAGCTGGCATCCCCAGTGGCCCTGGTGTCCCTGCTCCATCTTGGGTCTGGCCACCAGCTGCACGAACACAGTGGTTTCCTGGCTCAGGGCATTGGCCCAGCCCCTCCCCATGTCCCACAGGGAGCAGCAAGAATGATCCCTCACCTCCACCTCACCACTGCACCAGTGACTCCTCTGCATTTCTTAGCATGGAAAGAAATAAAGCTGAACACACGTGCTCACCTCCGGCCTGGGTGTTTGTGCTGCTGCGGTCAAGGGGGTTTCGCAGGCAGGGCAGGAGTCCACTCAGCCTGCTGGCCCCCAGGGTCGGGCTGGGAACTGGGCACTGGGAGCCTGGGCAAATCGGGGTCCCATGGCAGCTCGAGGCGTTCCTCTGGGCAAGTCACTTGTCTTCCCTGGGCCTCAGTTTCTCCAGCTGTACAAGTGGGTGACATCAGTCCCATCTTCCCTCAGTTGTTCTTTAGGCATAGATCTCAGGCGTGGCGAGAAGAGGGCAGGAAACCCACACTTGCTGGCTCCTGGCATGTGCTGGGCATTTACACACACTGACAAATCCACGGCGGTCCTAGGGGGCTACTAGCATCATTATCCCTGGGTTCAGATTGGTAAACTGAGGCTCTGAGAGGTCCAGGGACTTATCCAAGGTCACACGCCTGGCACATAGAAGGTACTGAATGTTAGTGAACTGACCCGATCCCTAGGCCTGTCTGACCCCAGAACTGGCTTCTTGCCACCATGCTTTGCTGTCAGGAAAGGAAGAGCCCCATGGGAGGAAGGTGAGAGTTAGTTGTTTGGGGGTGGAGGTGGGACAGGGGGACCCATTTTCCAGCAAGCAATGTGAAGCAGGCAGGGGTTGCTTTACTGTGGAAGGTGGCAAGGGCCTGAGGAGGGCAGGTCACAGAGGGAGGTGGGTGGGGGCAGAGCCACCCGGTGGGGCGGCCAGCACCGAGGGCAGGAGGCTGGGAAGGGGGCGGGCTGGGATGGGCAGAGGAGAGGGAGGGAGGGTCCCAGGACCCAAGAGGCGGCAGAGCAGAGCCGATCAGGACGTGGGAGCTGGAGCCAGTGCAACGGGGTTCAAATCCTGCCTGGCCACTTGTCAGCTGAGTCCCGTTGGGGGAGCTCCTGAGCCTCTCTGCACCTCACCAAATCGGAACACGTGGCCTCCAGTGAGGTGAGCCGGGCAGACTCCAGGTGCCACTCGGGCTCCCACTCAGACTGACCCCCAAGGTGAGCCAATCGGTTGAGACCAGACAAGTGCTCGGCTGCATGTCCATTGGGCGTAATGACCTGTCCAGGCCAGAGCCCCCAGCTCCCGTCTCCATCTGTGCACAGAGGGCTGGCCCCCCCCCCCCCCCGGGGCCC